GTACACACACACACACACACACACACACACACACACAAACACACACTATGGCCCAAACAGTTGTAAAGGCATCTTTACATATACCTATTATAAAATAGACACATACAGATCCAACAGCAGAAATGGCAACATTCCAAATAAAGTGGGAAAATATTTGAACTTTCCAAGAAAACTGCTACTGCCATTAAAGTGATATTTGGAAGATTTAAAAAAATGAAAAACTGGCTCCACAACTAAACCACTGAATCACAACTAATCAAGAAATCTGATTCTATCATAAGCGACCTGAACCAAATTAATGACCCTTTATTCCACTACAGGAGTTAACCTTCTATTGCCATAATGTTTACATTATTAAGACTGCTTTATGAATAGAGACTATATTTGTTTTACATTATTTGGGTTTGTAATTGCTGTCACCTACTTTCCATTAATGTTAATGATCACTAGTGATGATCATTAGTGAAAATTAATGCTAAATAAATCATCAGAATAGAGCTGGAAGGGACCTTGGAGGTCTTCTAGTCCAACCTCCTGCTCAAGCAGGAGACCCTATACCATATCAGACAAGTGACTGTCCAATCTCTTTTTAAAAATCTCCAGTGATGAACATGGGTGAAGATGTTGAATAGCCACTTGTCTGAAACAGTATAGGGTTTCCTGCCTATGCAGGGGGTTGGACTAGAAGACCTCCAAGGTCCCTTTCAACGCTGCTATTGTATCGTATTTGACGGCAAGCTGTTCCACTGGTTATTATTCTCACTGTTAGGAAGTTTCTCCTTAGTTCCATGTTGCTTCTCTCCTTGATAAGTTTCCATCCATTATTTCTTGTCCTACCTACAGTTGACCCCCTCCTCTTTGTAGCAACCTCTCAAATATTAGAATACTGCTATCGTGTCACCCCTAGTCCTTCTAGACTGCTTTCACCTGCTTCCCCTATTAATATTATTGATTATGTGACCTTTATCTATAATCATTGGTTCCCAATCCTCCACATTCTCTATTGCCATGTGCATTCTGATAATAATGGACAGAAACAAAGGCAAGATGCTTGTCTT